AGCACAGGTCATTCTTGTCCTTTATTCTGTAGCTGCTGGATATTGGAGCGATTTCCAGGCTGCTTGAAACTGACCCGCGGGTCCAACCAGAAGAGAAGAGACACCCTGAGGGAAGCGGCCGTCTTGCGGAACTGTGATATGTTCTATTCTGACGTTTTTAGACTAGAACGAGTAGTTGTAGGCACAGGAAACGTCGCTGGGCGGGAGGTTGGTGTCTCCTGACTCCCCTACCCATACCCACCAGCGTTTGGTTGAACGGAACTGACAATCGATTCAACAAGTGATAGGTGTTCTTTAGTCAAGGACTGTTGTTTGCAGCTCACCCCCACACCAAAAACACATTAGTTTCTAGAACTTTGCTGTAGATTGGCTTCAGTTTTCTAACCAGTAATTTATTCCTCTTCTTTTAGTATTTTTTTAATTGATTTTAGAGAGAGAGGAAGGGAGAGTGAGAGAAACATCGATCAGCTGCCTCCTGCACGCCCCCCACTGGGGATCAAGCCCGAAATTGGACATGTGCCCTGACCTGGAAACCAACCCGTGACCTTTTGGTGCATGTATGGTGCTCAACCAACTGAGCCACACCAGCAGGGCTGCTCGTAATACTTTCTTGTGCTTTGGGTTTGCTTTACCTCTCCCGCCCTTGCCGCCATTTCACTGAGATACGGTTGGCACACAGCGCTGTGCGCTTAGTCCTGGCGTGGCGGGTTGACTCCCGGCGTGGCGGGTTGACGCCCGTCTGCTAGGAAGTGGTTACCACAGCAAGTTTATTTAGCATCCATTTGCCTTTATTGTAATTACTGCTGTGTTTGGGTTTAGTTCTGTCATTTTATTATTTATTTTGTCTCCTTTATGTTTTTGTTCCTCTTTCCTGCTTGCTTTTTTTGTTTGATTGGACTGTTTTTCGGTATTGGTTTTAATTGGTTGGGCTTTTAACTAGTATTCTCTTTGTATGGCTTCTCTGGTGATTGTTCCAGGGATTACAAAATACATGTTCTACCTAGTTTACTTGGAATTAATATAGTATCATTTCATGAGGAACGTAGAAACCTTATATCTAGATACATTGAAAACCATACCAGACAGTGTAATTTTTGCTTTTAACCATCAAACATTTTAAAATAGTTAAGAGAATAGTTAATTACATTTACCCAGATATTTACTATTTCCATTACTTTCCCTTAATTTCTGAACTTCTAGGTTTCCAAACTCAATTAGTTTCTTTTATGCCTAAAAGGATTCCTTTAGCATTTACTTTAGAGCATATCTCTTGGCTGCAAATTCTTCATCTGAGAATGTCTTTATCATTTCCACCCCTAAAGGATGTTTTTGCTGGGTATAGAATATGGGTTGGCAGTTCTCTACCCCAGCAGCACTTCAGAAAGGCATTTATGTTTCTGATGAGAAATTTGTAGCCATTCAAATCGTTATTCTCATATGTTACAAGTCACTTCTCTTTGGCTGCTTTCAAGATTTTTTTCCCCTTGGCTTTGGTTTCAGCAGTTTAATTATGATGTGTCTGGCTATGGATTTCTTATCCTGCTTTGGGTTTGTTGCACTTCTCAAATCTGTAAGCTTATCTTTCACCAAGTTTTGGACATTTCCAGCCATTCTTTTTCTCTTACTCTGGGATTTCAGTGACATGAATGTTAGGACATTTTATATTGTCCTACAGATTCTTAAGGCTCTATTAATTTTTTTTCCAATTTTGTTTTAAAGAGTATAAAATTCATTTTCCTGTTTATAGGTTAATAATTTGTTATGTGTGCTGAAGCCTTTCCATAGCGGACTTTTTCTTAAGAATAAAGGACTTTAGTTACAAATGTTTGGATTTTTTAGGGCTCCCTTTTTAAGTTCAATAACAGAAGCCTATTTAAGGGTTTGGAAGGAAACTTTGTCTTTCATTTTACAAGCTACACATGCGCACAGAAGGGCATACAGTGAAAAATAAGTTTCTTATTCTGGTTCCCTGAATGCCCAGTTCTGCAGGGGGAGGGAAGGAACTTTTAAATGAACGAAATCACTTCTATGGAAAACTATTTGAGAACAAAAAGTAAAATAAAAAATTGTAAGTAGTTGAAATGTTTAGAGAGCAACCAGAAGCATAGTATTGAGGCCTGAACACTGACTTGTATGCTAATTCCCCCACTCTCATGCTTGCGCTGTAGAAAAGATGCAGGTAGGTGTTTCTTGAAGAGTTATGGTGGTGGACCCTTGGTGTTCGTAGGAAATACATCCAGACACTTGAGTGGCCTCGCAAGTTAGCAAACACTATTTTCTAGGGTTCTCCAGCACTGATTGTGGGGGAGGGTCCTCATCTTTACTGTTACTGCCTCATCAGAGCTTCTGTGTGTCAAGTGAAGATGCTGCGCTGTGTGTGGTCCCTGAGCGGTTGGCTAGGAATGTGCGCTAGCAGACTGTCTCCCGGACGAGCAGGCTGAATTTTCCTTCTGCAGGTCTTTGGATATAGATTCAGTAAAACCATTAACAGAGTGGTGTTAATGAAGGGTATAGTGAACATAGAAAATGGTCATTAGGGACTGTTTTACATGAATTTTCTTCAGGAATAGAGGTTAGCAGGAATGAGAGTTTTCTGGCTCCTAATTGAAATTGTGGGTTTGAGATCATTTTAATCCTCAAGAGTTGTCTTTGTAAAGGAGACCACTGCAAAGCAAGTCTGTGGGTATTAGCAGGCAGTAAGGATTAATTAGTTGGTACAAATGAGTTGATTTAGAATGACACCCAGGCATCTAGTCAGTGGTTAGAGAGTTCCCTGTGCCGCTATGCTTTATAAAAAGTTCTGAACCAGAGAATTTTCACCTGTTATAGTCAGGTTTCATACCCTAATGTCAAAGAAAACATAGTGAGCTTTCACTCAGTGTTAATGTTGCCACCAAAAAGAACTGTATTAAAGTCCATGTTGCTGCTGCTTGGGGTGTTGTACATTCTGACAGTGTAAAAAGAAACCTACCAACAGTTAGCTTGAAAAGTAAAAACTACCCACCCCCAGTCCCACCAGGATAAACCTGATCGCTTGCCAAAGTGCTATAAGTTTAACAACAAAAAAAGACAAGACAAAAGAAAACCCTAGCAAGTTTACCACTAAAACCCGGAGACCGCCTTCCTGGGCCCGTAGGGCTCAGCGGCGGTCCTCGCCCCGAAGGAGATGGAGAGCGCTGCGGGCGGGGCGGCCGCGCCGAGGCTGGTGGGCCGGGGCAGCAGTGCGGTTAGTGCCACAGCTTATGCTCGGAGGGGTCCCTCGCCTCACAGGCGAAAGGGCTCCCGTGTTCATTAAAGGCCAGCTGTTTGGGAGCAGGGACTCCCATCTGCAGTAGCTTTTGAGACTCGAGGAAGAAGAGCAGAGGGAAGTGGGTTTAGGCACTTAGGAGAAGCGGCTGTCAAGGAAGAGGAGACAGCACGGCCAGCGTGGCTCAGTGGTTGGTCATCGGCCCAAGAAGGAAGAGGTCCCCAGATCCGTTCCGCCAGGGCCCAGGTTTCAGGCTCAGTCCCCAGTAGGGGGCGTGCAAGAGGCAGCCAGTGGCTGTTTCTCTCCCAGAGATGTTTGTCTCTCTCCCTCTCCGTCCTCTCTGTCTAAAAATCAATTTAAAAATTTTTTTTTTAATGTGACAAATTAAAGTCTAACTTTAAAAAAGAATAAAATAAAGAGGAGGCAGAGCCTGAAGTTTGAAATTTTTGTATGCTGCTCTGTGACTACTGGAGAATCCCTTCCTCCCAAAACCACAAACACACCCACCCACTGGGATTTAGAGGTTATTCTTTGATTAATAAGATTTAACTGCCCAAATGAATCTTTTAACATTTTCTTTTAAACGGACGCTTGGTGGAAAGGAATTTTGTCTGTAGTTGGAAGTAAGTTCAGATTTGCACATAAAACTGAGAGCAAATCATTTTCTTTTGGAAATTATTTAGGGAAAGATTGTTCAGTGTGTTCTAAAATTAGGGGAAAATGAACATTATGTGATCCTTGAAATGCTGTTGTGGTTGTTACCGGACTAAAGGGGTCTGTTTGCCTGCGTCCATCAAGCCCAGTGAGACAGGGACTGGAGTTCCCAGCAAAGCAAAGAAGGGTTTGTTACTTGAGAAAGTGGCCCACACCCAGCGTCACAGGTGAGCTGCTCAAAGACCTGGCTCCCTGGGGGCTTCCAGGGGGTGGGTCATATAGGGTCAAAACCATCAATCGTTAAAACCCTTAACCATTAAGGGCGTTGGGGTCCTCATCTCCACCCCTTAGTCGGCGCTATGGTAGGGGGTCACTGGTCAGTGCATCTGGCCTGATATCAGCCAAGGAGCCGCTTTATCTGGTTTTCCCTGCTTTTCTGGGCCTGGAGCTGAAACACAGCTGAGGCCTGATGTAATCTCTAGTTTGACCAGAACTCTCTCTGGGGTCAACAGTCCCTGGGCTTGGTTTCTGAGATTATTTGGTGCTGACCAGAACTTCACTGTCCTGAAGGCTTAATGATGAAGGGTGAGTGGCCGTACAAGGGAGGAGGCGGCAGGTGAGCCAGGTGCTGGGGGAGGCGAATCGAATCCAAAGCAGGGAGACGAGGCCACGTGACAGAAATGAAGCTCCCATGAGGTCACGTAGCGAGTGAGGATTCGTGTACCTCTTCTAGCCCCTTAAAAAGTGAGGGACGCCTGGGGCTGTCCCCACGTGACGCGTCCACAGTGCTGAGAGTGGCTGACGGCTGTGCGCTTAGAAAGCACAGAGGAAAAGACGGTTAGAGCCATGTCGTTTCCAAACCCTCACGGCTCTTTGGATGTAGATTTAGTAAAACAAAGTGTGGGCGTCTTTTCACTGCTTATTTCCAAAACTGTCTTTAACGGGAGGACGTGTCTTTGTGTGAACAGATCATTGGCCTCTTCGAGGATTATGGCTGTGAGGCCGATTGTCACCACCACCAAAAAACGAGCTGTTTGCTAAGACGGCAGGGGGCGGGGGGCAGCAGTGCTGACCTGGAGGTCAGGGGCGATGGTTCTAACTTCAGATCTTCTCTCCAGTCAGGTCAGTTCAGTGAGGACATGATCCCCACCGTGGGCTTCAACATGAGGAAAGTAACGAAAGGCAACGTCACAATAAAGGTACGTCACCCTCTTGCCACTGATTGCAGCTGCCAGCATGTGCAGCTAAGAATGTCTTGTTGGTTGGCTTTTACATGAGTATTTGCAGTTCTTAACTGGTGAATTGCCTATTCCGAAGGGTGTAAGTCAGTTGTGTGGTTTTTTTCTCTCTAATTATAGGAGTTGCATGTAAGCACCCTCGAAAAACTTAGCATGTGGGTAGGCAGAGGTAAATATTTGTGATTTAGATGGTCCTGGGAATAAAAACCCCCTCTTCAGAGCATGTGGCAGCTAATCCAGTTTCCCTTTGTTTACTTTTGAGCCTTAAAACTAAAACTATAAAATAGGGGAAAGTTTATTAATTTAACATAATTTTTTTAGAATGATTTTGAATCATGAACTGTTGGACTGTGTATTTGGAGCCATGTTTTAATTCTGGGGGGTTTTCATTTGGTTTGGTTCTGTGGTTCATGGGATTTTACTTCACTGGCCTGGGTGCTGTGGCCATTTCATCCAATTATTGGTGCTCACCGAAGCTGTTCACCAAGTTCTTTATGTCGCTCAGCGAGTGAAGCTCCTAGCTCCGTGTACATGTCTCTTTCTGTGTGATACCAGTGCCTGTAGCTAAGTCAGAAGCAGTTTGAGGGTAAATACTAGGACTAAGACGTGCACAGCCCATCTGGAACAGTAGACACAATAATGAAGTTACCACGGGTAGTGGCTTTCATGTGGAATGTTGATTATGTTGTTTACAGACTAATTAAAAATGACTGGGCATTAATGTATGTACCCGGTCAGGCAGCTAAACCTGAATAGATTCTGAATGGACTGTTTTCTGTCCTGGCATCAAATCTGGGTGATGCATGATTCTGGAGATTCTAAAGTGCTGTGTTAAAGGTACATACAGTAGTCCCTTTGTCTGCTGTTTCAGTTACCCCTAGTCAACCACATCCAAAAATATTAAATGGAAAATACCAGAAATAAACAATTCATAAGCTTCAAATTGTGCTCTGTCTGACCCGGACACAAACCATCCCTGTCTGGCATATCCACACTGTGTACCCTACCCACCCTTTAGTCACTTGTAGTTGTTCTATTTTATTATCAGTTATTGTTACTAATCTCCTACTGTGCCTAATTTAAAATTATACCTCATCATAGGTGTGTACGTATAGGGTTCGATACTATCTGCGATTTTAGGAACCCACGAGGTGTGGGGGAGGTTCTTGGAATATATTCCCTGCAGATACGGGAAGACTACTGTATTTTCAGTATTGGAAATTTATTGGTAAACAGACAAGAAAAAGTATTGCACAGAAAACTAAATCTTCGCTCAAGCAGAACTTACAGATTTCATGTAAACACATTAAATATGAACTTCAGGAACTTGCAGATGAAGTGTGTGTTTGAGCTCAAGTTTTTTAGGAGGAACTTGGCTCATTGTGAAAACAAATGTGTCCGCCTAATGTTTCTCCTTCGGCATTTATCTGAAATGTCCTTGTTGAGAACGGTCTGTCTCTTGCAGATATGGGATATAGGCGGGCAGCCTCGGTTCCGGAGCATGTGGGAGCGGTACTGCCGAGGGGTCAATGCGATCGTGTAAGCGCCTCTTTAAAACGCCAGTTTAGGGGGGCGGGAGCAGGTGGGGGGGGGGACAAAAGTCAATTTAGATTTCAAGGAAAAGCGATGTTTTTAATACTTCCAAAGGCTCAGTTTTTATTTTCAGCATCAAGTCTTTCTTAGATATTTTCTTGTATAATTCATTAATATGAGACTTTAAAATATTTAGTCACAGAATGAGAGTCTTATTTGTCTATTATTTTTTTAATCCTCACCTGAGGATATTTTGTCCCTTGCTTTTCAGAGAAAGTGGAAGGCGGGGGAGAGAGAGAAACATCCATGTGAGAGAGACACATTGATTGGTTGCCTCCCACATGCACCCCGACCAGGGCCTGGGATCGAGCCCAAAACTAGTACGTGTCCTTGGCCAGAATCGAACCCAGGACCCTTCAGTCCACAGGCCAACGCTCCAACCACTGAGCCAAACCAGCCAGGGCTTATTTGTTTCTTGTTTATGCAGCTCCAAGCTAAGGGGTATGACTGTGTTACTGTCACGTATTGGCTCCTAAGAATGGTTTAGGTAAAGTATTTCGAGGTGCTAGCTTTTCTCTGCCTAGGGCTTTATCTTTTTTCCTTCATTTTTTTTCCCCTTCACTATTTATCCCCCTGTACCCCCCTTCCTCTAGGGCTTTATTTTGATTAACAATTTCAATAGTATAAAATCTTAAAATTAAAAACCTTTAATAATTGTGATCATCAAAGAATATGGCTTATTGAGATGAGTTTGTGTTTTTTAAGTTACATGATAGATGCTGCAGATCGTGAAAAGATAGAAGCCTCGCGGAATGAACTACATAATCTTCTAGATAAACCACAGTTACAAGGAATTCCAGTGAGTATGGAGTCCTTGCTGTCCTACACTGTGTATAATACCTGTAATTGTCGCTATGTTGTTTGAATTTTCTGTGTTAGGCAGCTGTGAAGTCGCCCTGGCACATTGCTGTACACACGATGGTGAAACGGGAGCAGAGTTAGCAATACTCGGAACAGGCCGTCAGGCCAGAGTGGGTCGGGAGGGAGGGTGTGGAGAGTCGTCCCTAACTCCCGGCTTGTGCAGTTAGGTGGAGGCGGTGCCATTGGTTGAATTAAAGAATGCCGGAAAGGAGAGGCTCTGGCCTCGTGACAAGTTGGTGGGTGTCAGCCACTGGTGATCTCTTACCTCAGTTAACCCTCGCACGCACTGCAGTTGGTGGTGGTACCCTCCTGTGGACAGTGGTCCCTTGGGGTCACAGGGCCACGGGTGTGTTGCACAGCTGGGTTTTCAGCCCACACCTGTCTGGCTTTGAAGGCTGCTCTTCCTTCCACATTGAAAACCAGTTGTACGTACCGTGAATGAAGTCACCTCACCTCGCCCCGTAAGGGTTCCCAGTTACAGTAGGAAGTCGGGGCCTCTCCTGTCCGCACGGGTTTCCCTCCCTGCGTCACTGGTTCTGCAGTCAGAGTCTGGGGTGCTCCTAGGTCATGTGCCCCTGCTCCAGCAGAAAGGAGAGCTGGGGAAGAAATTCTCTACAGAAGCACACGGCTTTATGGGGAAGGGGCCAGGTTCATAAGGTGGGGGGTTTCCTCGGTGTAGGAAGAGGGCTACGGTGCCAGGCAGCCCCGTGACCGACACTGATCACAGACGACCATGGAGCACTAGAACCTCCGGCAGGTCCCGCGCGAGAACCTGGTGACTAGAACGAGAGTAAGGAGGGCGTAAGAGTCGGGGAGGGACGACAGGCTGTCCACACTGCTGAGGTTTGGCTCTTGGCTCTCCGACCCCCGGTAGCTTAGCGTCCCCTGAGAGCTCCCCACGCCCCTGCCTCTCTATGCCTCTGTCCTCTGTGTGACTAAGAACCTAGGACCTGTGAGTAGAGCCAGTTAGTGTCCAGAGAGCGGGTGAAAGAAGGAGGTGTGACAAGGTGGGCGTGGAGGGGACTTTGTTAGCGTGTGGCACAGATGCACGTTCTGAGGGCACGCTGACAGTGTGCCGGTATCAGACGCCAGTGCACACGTGTCCGTGCGTTCTGTCGGCAGGAAGGCTGTGTCCAGGGAAGGGGGAGAGGTGTTGGAAAGTGCATCTCTGCTCCCCTCTTAAAGGCACCCGGCACTTAGAGGACACCTACTCCTGGGGCGGGTGGGGGCTGATTCATTCTGACCCCAGACTCTCCCACTGTCTTAGAACATTTACTCGGGACATTCGATAGGACGGGTCCAGAATTGTAAAGGCTTACTTACATGTTCACACGAGTAAAAGCTTACAGATAAGACAATGGTTAAAAA